ATTCTTTTCATTCAGCTCCTTCTGCATCTCTTCCAGACGCGTCTTTAGTGCGCTGCAACTACTTTCCTGACACTAAGCAAAAGTGCGAGACATATTTAGTTTAGGCTTTTGGCATTCTAACTTTTTTTCTAAATGAACTTATTTGTAAACAACAATTGAAAGGAGGAAGCCGTTGACAGCCTTGCCAGCGTACAGTTGCTGTTGCGTTTGCTTCCACTCGGACTGCTTCACAACAGATGCACTAGGATTCTGACTTTGATTTTAGCTATAACTATTTACTGCTGTAAATTAGGTATGAGGCATTACTCGATGCCATTCCTCGCGACTGCTCCCTCAGTAGCGCGTTGCTCTGCTTCGCGGAGTTTCTCTTCCAGTTCCTGGACAGCACTCTCCCTCTCTTGGCACAGCGCAGCCATTTGCTCCGCTCTGAAATCATATTTCTGCAGTTTTCTTGAGAAAATACTGTTCGGGAAATATTCTGGCTTGTCGACTCGCAGAGGTAAACATGCGTGACAAACCTACTTACAGAAATACACACGCACGCACATACACATATGAAAATCGGGACCTTGTTGACATGCTTTTTCATTCAGCAAGTTTGAAAAGCACAAAAAAAGATTACTTAATGAGATCTTCTGCGCCCGCTCTTTCGGAGGCGTTTTGTTCCGCTTCGCGCAGTCTGTTTTCTAGATCCTGGATGACGCGTTCTTTCTCCTGGCACAGCGCATCCAAGTGATCTGCCCTGAAAACACATTTCCGCAATTCCATTAGAAGGGCCGCTCTTATACAATACTAGCAGGCTTCATCCAAATTACCAGTGAAGACAGTAAACAACTGAATTCTGCTTTTTCAGCTAAAATGCGAATTCTCCAAAACGAACTCTTGGATTTGTGACTGCCGTGAGTTTTTTTGTGTATGGAGCGTGTTACCTTTCATTAGCATCAGCCAACCACTGCCTGTGCTCGCCGAGGTTCCACTCCGCATCATTCTTCGCTTTCTCCAAATTGCCCATAAGGTCATTCTTTCCATTCAGCTCCTTCTGCATCTCTTCTAGTTGTGCCTTCAGTGCGCTGGAACCAATCTGCTGGTACTCAGCAAGAAATAGGGTACTCAAGTTAGGTTTCTGACCTTCTTTCGCAACAAAGCATTTTTAATTCCTTTTTAAACAGCCACGAATTATTGTTATTATCATGAAGTGATAAATACTTGATGTGATCTTGCGCATCTGCTCCTTCAGTGGCGCGCTGCTCTGCTTGGCGGACTTTGTCTTCCAGATCCTTGATGGCGTTGGCCCTTTCCTCGCACAGTGCACCAAGCTGCTCGGCCCTAAAATCTTTATATTAAAGTTTTTTGAGGAAAATGTTCATCCAAAAGGTCGCACCAATAGACTGCTCGCAAGGCTGCCAACCAGACAGGAGCCAAATGGATACGGTAATCAATTCTACTTTCTCAATAGTTATCTGCACTTGCTGCAGTTTGTGCTGCAGTTCTATATACTGCAAAAGTTACCTCTGATTAGCATCCGCAAGCCACTGTTTGTGTTCGCCCAAGCTCCACTCCGCGTCATTTTTCGCCTTCTCCAAATCGCCTACGACGTCATTTTTGACATTCAGCTCCCCTTGTAATTTTTCAAGCTGGGCCTTCAGTGTGCTGGAAGAACTTTCAACTGTAGAAGGCAAAAACTGTTAGGGAAATCCAATGCAGTTAGAATCCGAGTAACACCTTGTAAATAAAATCTGCATAAAAATGCTTTAGTCTTGTACATGTCAATTTGTTTAGGTAGCAACAACCGCCGATAACAGAGATAATACACATAATATTACTCATTTTCATCTCGCGCGTTTGCTCCTTCAGTGGCGCGCTGCTCTGCTTCACGGAGTTTGCCTTCCAGATCGCGAATAGCA